GTAACAGTGCAAAGGCCTTGTGTGAAATATTAGGCTTCGCACCTGCTGTAGCAGTGCAAGGACCTTGTGTTAGAAAAAGACTTGGCTCTGTGATTGTCACGGTCAGGATCAGTTCTCCTAAGGAAGTCGGGTCTCAAAGATCAGTCGGGGTAATCATGCAGATAAGAATGGATTAGGGATTAATTGATGCGCGTGAGAAATATGTAATTCGGTGAATTAGGAAAAGGTTAAATAATCGATTCATTATGTGATTAAGGCATGAGTTAAAATTGTAAGATTAATTATGATGTAATTAATTTGGAGTCAAAAGTATGTATATAAGGGAAAAATTGAAAAAATAAAAAGGACAGTCACTCTCTTTCATTCATACTCAGAATAAAAGTATTTTTGAAAAAACAATTATGCAACACCTTTATAAAGAGACCCAATAACCTTGGTAATTCAAACAATTCTCAATTCGTGGTTAGTGAGGGCGCGATAGAAGAACCTGGGCAAGATTAAAGTCCAAATCCTTAGAAAGCCGGATAAAAGACTAGCCCACGAAGTGAGACGTCGAGTGTTGAACCAAAAGGGTATAGACGTACATTGTTACACATCGGCGTGCAGCATTGGTGAAAGAACTTGCACGATATCCAGTACAAGCTGTAATGAAAAAGGATTTTAACGGACCGATAACTAAAACTTTTTATATTTAAATAATATGACAGTAAAATTCTTTGAGAAACTTTCAAATAATTATCTTGAACTTTTTGATGACAAAGAAGATTTCAATATTGTCATTATTAATATTGGTGAATCTCCAAATACTAAGGAATTTCAAGCACATTCAGCAATTTTAAGACATAGATCTTTATATTTTTGTAATGAATTAGTAAATAGTGTTAATGATAATAATCTTAAAACACTTGATTTAAAAAATATTTCTATTCAACAATTTGAGATTATTATAAAATATATTTATAGAGGGATAGTTGAACTTGAAAAAATACGATGCATCATTTATTTTCGAACTTATGTTTATTGCTTGCGAATTTCTTTTTGATGAGTTAGCAAAACACCTTGAAGCTCATTTAATTGAAACAAAAGCTCATTGGCTTCGTTTACATTTTACTCGTATTTATCAAAAAGCTTCCAGAATAATAAGCTTCAAGAATTACAAAAATGGTGCTATCGAGATGATTTACAAATGGAAGAAGTAAAAATTTGAAACCGTATTATCGAATGGGGAATTTCTAAAAATCCTGGCCTACCATCCGATCCTGAAGATTGGCCTCATGAGAATTTCTGGCTTTAAAGACATAACAAAACTGCCGAACCATTTTCAGCAGTTATAAGTGATGCACATGCTGCAAAAATTGCTTCATGGGGTGTTAAAAAAGCCGATACATATTTTGCAACAAATAATCCGTACGAATTTAAATTAATTCTTCGCGGAACAAAAGATGGTTTTAATACTGCTTCGGTTTGGAATTTATGTGATATAGGGTTGGGGCACGGGGCACGGGGCACGAGGCATGCCTTTCGGGCATTCCTCCTGGGCATGCCCTTTTTCAAAAAAGTTATATATGTAAAAAGTTGTCACGTAAAAAAATTTGGGGACATGCCTATAGGGCATGCCTCTAAATCAAAAAAACCAGAGGCATGCCCATGGGGCATGCCCGAAAATTTTCCCGTGCCCCCAACCCTAATGTGATAAGAAGACACATCTCGTTTTAGTTATTTAGTGATTCCTTTACATGCTTTAATTCTTCATTTTTTCAAGCTAACCAATCTATTCGTTAACTTCGTATAATAATGGAACAGAAATATAAGCACCTTGGCTGGAAAGATTTTGGTGTTGAGTACTTGGAGAATAATTGCGATAAAACCAGAAAAGTGCGTTTTGCTTCATGGTTTGGATATACAATTAATGCAAATGGTGGACTATATGGTTGTATGAGTGATACATTCCAAATATATAAGCTGGCCTGTGAGAAAGCTTTGCGTCACACCACCAAGTCTAGTACTATCCTTCAAGAAGCTTATAAAGGATTTGATAAAATTCCAGACGTAAGTATTGTTTGAATGATTTACTTAATCCATAATATTTTAATATGATGACATTTCGTTTGTTTATCCTGCAAATGGATTTTACACCACCGACTCACACTGAGGTTTGGGCCCCGATGGCCGTTCGTGGTGTATGAACGATCTGATTGAATGTGTACAATAATAAGCGTGATAAAGTATTTTCATATATGAACTTACAATATCTATTTATCTTTAAAGGGCAAGCAAAGAACTCAGTATATTTCAACGGTTGATGCTATGTAATCAATTGTTAGTTTGGGTAATATAACTATTTTGTATCTTATTACTGGCATTAAATGTATTCTACACGTTTTATAGGTTTCTCTCAAATTCATAAGTTCAACCGAAATAAACCCGGTATCATCAAACAAGCAAAAGATTGAGAAACGATTGGTAATATATTCAGTATATAAATTATTCTAAGTTTTTATTTTTCCTAATTCAGTATATTTTTTTGTAGAACGATTAATACGAGAGAAAACATCACCATATTCGTTGTTACTATATGAGTTAAAAGAATCTCTTTCAATCATATAATGTCGATAATATTGAATGGACAGATCCTCTTAGTTTTGGTTTTATTATCGATAGAGACTCTGATATGATTTTTGGAAAGTTACTGGAAGATCAGAGAAAGAATTTAAGGAAAACTATAGATTTACCATATCATAAATTTGAAATGAGTTTAATTATTTCTAAATTAGTTAAAGTTCTATTAGAAAGATCGAAAAGTTTAAACAAAAAAAAGATGATAGTCTCTCTTCCGCCTATATCGATGGACTTTCAAGAAAATGATGAGGAATTTGAAGGTATATGTGTGATGTATAGAATTATAGATTCAATGTAGGTAGTTAAGCTTTACCTGTAAATTAATTAATTTTTAATCTTTTTTGTTTTTGTAGATGATATATTTGGTGTTACTTTAAAGATGAAAATAAGGCTAAATATACAGAGAGAACGTATATTATTTGAATAGTATCAAACTTTCTTGATCCATTATTCTGCTATAAAAATGCTAAACTTAAGATTATCTAGTATTTTTTTAAAAATATTTAATAAAAGATATAGGTTTTGTTTATATAAAATAAAAATATTTATATATATTATAACAGGTTAAGGAAGTTTCAGAAGCATTTCAATATCAGATAGATAACTCTGAAAAAACAAGAATTAAGTATAAGCTTAATTTTTGGATAAAATTATTATTATTAATAGTTGATAAAGTGAAAATATATCTTATGAAGGTTTTATGAATTCTTCCTATTGATAAAAAAATTCATAAAGACTAAGATAAATTAATAAAGCTTATAAAAGATGTCTATATTAGATTATTGAAGAAGCTTACTAGAAGAAAAGCAGAAAATGAAAGACTTAGAAGAAGAGCTTAATAAAGTTCTAGTGTTTGGTATTCAAGTTGCAAGTATATAATATTATATTTGATTTTTTTTTTATTTAGAAATAGCCCTTTCTGTTTTAGATAAAACTTTAGTATGTTGGGCTATAATTATGCTATTTGATACTTTTTACTTTGTTCAATATTTTGTTTTAATACAAATTTTGATAAACCAGAAATAGTTTTTACTTATCAAATTTATAAATGAATTGTAGAAATTAAAAATAAAATTATTATCTTTTTTTTTTTTTGATGTTAAGGTGATCTCTCTGTTGTGTTCTTTTATTCAATTATAATTATAATTTTTACAATATGATTTTCACATGCCATATACATATTTGGAGAGTAAACTAGCCACACGTGCAACTTTTGGTTGCTTATTTTAAGTAGTTTACTTATTACTAAGTTCTACACTAGGTGTCATATCTATAACTTGACTAGAGAATTATCTATTTAAACCCTCTGTGCCTATGTGATTACACTTTTAACTAAGCGAGAATCTAATACGAAAATTCTTAGTTTCAGATACTGACTTAGGACTTTAAGACAGGTTTTTTATCCTCAAGAGCCCTTTATCCTCAAGGCAAACCTGCTAAAGCCTTTTATACCTACAATCTAGCTAATCTAGTCTTCAGTTGGCTTACTACTTGTATTCCAGTTTCTATATTAGATACTATGATCTGATCACTACTACACAACTTACTTCTGCCCTTATAAAGGTCACTCAAACCCTGATACACACATTACAAACTATCTACAATATCTCCAACTATTCTAAACTACTAATCCAAATGGCTCGAAAGGGTTGTGACCTTCTTCTGCCCTATGGTTGGGTCCTTTTCCTCCAGTACTCTTTGGCGGCCTGGTTGGTAGAGTGCCTTGCCGAATACTTCGGTCCTGTTCAGTTTTTGCTAGTTCTTCCAATGATAATCCTTTATATAGTACTGTCAAAGATCTGTGCTACCTCTCTATTCAGAACTTGCCAAGTGAATGCTTTACCACTATTTTAGCCCTGTGGCTTTCTGTGATCTAAAGATCTATTCGTATAACTCATATATCATACAAATATCCTGAGATCTCTCAGTTCTGATGAATTGGTACAACCATAGTTATAGAGTCTTGAGTTTTTCTGGCCATAATGTTAGTTACTGAATCTGTTTTTCAAAATTCAATTTTCGTCTTCAGTAGAAATTAAACTTGTACTTAACCACTTAGAGATGCGACAACTTCACCACTTCATTAAGTCACTACACCTATAGATTATTATTTTTGAAATATAGTAAAATTGATATATAGTATATGTTTTAGTTAATTAATAGAAATTTTAAATATATTGTTACAGTACCGTGGCTTTCTTAACAGCAGTACTATAACAATGACATAGCTACAGGGATCTTTCACAGGTTTATAGCGGTATCCAACAGGTAAGTATAATTTCTACTACAACTAGAAACTATACC